GTCGTGTCGGTCGTATGTGTCGTGTCGGTCGTATCTGTCGTGTCGGTCGTATGTGTCGTGTCGGTCGTATCTGTCGTGTCGGTCGTGTCTTTGTCCAGGCGCCCAGTTCTCGACGCTCTTTTTTTCTTTCATATAAATCTTTGTAATAACAAACACCGGTCAGTGAATCTAGTGACTTATGAGCTTAAATATATTTCAGTGATTCATTATTATTTGTTAAAGAAGTCGAAGTCTCACGTAACAACGAAAAGTTAATTTTAAATTCAAGAGAATCTTTACAACATGGCTATACGGAAGGCAGTATTGGTTAATTGTTATAATTATAATACTCGTGTATTATACCACAAACTCAAGTAACTGTAATTAGCATTGTTTAACTTCAGGATATTTTAAAGTAAAGATGAAAATTATACTCTAAGGACAGGCTTGTATTGGCAAGAAAAGTGGATATTGAAGTACATTTTTATACTTCTTTCGTAACGTGTTTATATTAAAACTTTTGTGAGTCATACTAAATTAATTATGTATTATGTTTTCGGCTTACCCACTCACGTAGCTATTTGACGAGAAACTCGACAAGTTTCAAGCCATGCTCGAGGCTCATGTTCATGAACAGCATTCCGAGACCCGCGTCGCGCCATCTGTCGCGCTGCTACGCGCGCGGAGCTCAATAGCCGAGCTCCTCGTCAAACAGTTACGTGAGTAAACAGAAAACATAATAATTACTCTTGTAACTGAACAAATCATAACGTAAATAAGAAGTGGGTTGTTAAAAATTCTGCGGTCACTTCATTATAAATTAGGTAAGTCCTTACCTTACTTACTTAAATATTCATTCCCTATACAATTATCAATTAGTTTTCAAACTTGACAGCATAAACAAAACAAGTATTCACGAAACTCTCAATCCCAATACACCAACGAATACCTAATCTCAGTTGTGATAAACCATACCTTACCATCCCATTCCACCAATAAACATTAACCTTAATAGAAAATGATCCTTATAATGCCTACTTGAGCATTTTCATTAAGTACAGATAAAGGTCTTATAAGTACTACTTGCCTCGCCCTTGGTACCTCATAAAAGCCATGGGGGTTGTAATAGTGTTATCATAAACACCCATAATATGGCCGCAATGTGACTCGATGATACTTCATAAAATAAATTTGTTTTGCTATGGAGTCTTTGGGTCGATATGCTGTATATTTCGATTTAGCGGAGAATATATTAACGATTACTTACTTTATTTGTATCAGGACTGATTTTTCAATCAACAGATAATTTTTAACTGTAGAATTTATCTAA